GGGGATATGATTAATATGTATAAGTTCAGGAAGGGAGAATGCAGGGAGGAAGGGGACAGGCTGTTCTCACTGGTGGCCAGCGATAGGACGAGGGGTAATGGACACAAGCTGGAACACAGGAAGTTCCGTCTCCAGGTGAGGAGGAACTTCTTTACTGTTAGGGTGACAGAGCAGTGGAACAGGCTGCCCAGGGAGGTTGTGGAGTCTCCTTCTCTGGAGGTCTTCAAAACCTGCCTGGATGCCACCCTGTGCCACGTGCTCTAGGTGTGCCTGCTTGAGCAGGAAGGTTGGACTAGATGATCTGTAGAGGTCCCTTCCAACCTTAAATATTCTGAAATATTCTGAAGAGTTTGCTGAGTTTGAAATCACCTAATGAATTCAATAAGCAGAAGCATTATTTTATCTTTGTGTTTAATATCTAGGAAGATTATATATATATATATGCATGAGAAACTGCTATGTTTGATGCAATCCTCTCTGTACATTTTTTGCAAAGTCCTGTTTCCTTGGACACGTTCAATGTTCCGTTAACCAAAATTTCTGCAGCTACATCTGGTGCTTCTTTGCTATTTTCTTTTTCTCCCTCTGGGCTATTTTTTTCTGCTGTTTTTCTTAGGTAAAATTATATTAAAACCACTCTTGTAGAGAACACCTGAGCAGCATTTCTTGTGCTTGCCCCTTAACTGGACTTTTATTGAGGGAACTGAACTTAACTATTGTTTCAGTTCCCCAAGTAGGAGTTTATTTCTCAGAATTATTTGAGTTAAAGAAGCTTCTCACATTCTGTGACCTTTTGTTTTTTTCAGCTTGTCATAATACTATCTGGGAAGAAATTGCAGCATGTGTCAATGTGAAATCGGTAGAGTCAAGGCCAAATTTCCCATTGACTGCAAATGCAACTCTCAGTCTTTCTATAGTAGTGATGATGGAGACAGATGCATATTCATGTCACTGTGGGGAAAAGAGAACTCTTACAGTATTTATTGCACTTTATAAATCTTTACCAGATTTAACAAACCCTAGCTCTAGTGCGTGCTGCCTCCTTCCTATTATTGCTCTACTAGTAAAAGTTCTTGTCAGTTAGGGGACCCATGGAAATATTTAGGGTCATTACAATATTTTTTTCCCTTCTCACAGCTGCAGAGAAGTATTCCAACACTAAGCTGTACTTTGGACACAAACTCCTGGAGTGCAATGCGGAGTTAGGGACATTAACCATAAAAAGGTAATCCCTGGACAAGCCCGAGATAAAGGGCTGTTTTCAGTTACTTTTTGCTTAATAATTCATAAAAGCTCAAACAATTGAGCAATGTCAGTTTAAAACTAATGTTATTCCTGAGTGGACAAAACTTTGTGCCTGCTTTGGGAGGCAGAGACGTCAAAGCAGGGTTCACAGGGAGGTTGCAAATGTTTAAGCAACTCCCTAACCTCTCGGTGGACCAACCATAAGCTGGATGCGCATATTTGCTGATCTGTGCAGGGAATAAATGTGCTTGCCTTCACAGCATTGGTTTTCGTACTCTGGCGGGGACAGATTGCTCTTTAGGGAGAAAAAGTGATGACCTTGTTGCGTAGTTGCATTAAGCATTCTGATTATGTTCCCATCTCAGTCAAACCAAACCTTAGGAAAACAAACCTCTTAGGAAATTTAAATGGCATTTTTTTGAAACTATCAAATCATTCTAACCAGCGCTGGGATGTTGCATCAAGCCTGGCAGAGCTCATAATTCCACATTTTAGTCGTTAATGCAGGCTTTGGAAAGGTTAGTTTCTTAATTTGAAGTCTTAAGATCAGCTTTGTAGAACCCTCAAGGTCCTGGGAGGCTACCTGCAAATACAGGCTCTGTGAAATAACAACATTGTACCAGCAGTGTTTGCTGTAAGTTCGGATGTATATGTCGGAGTCTTTGATAGAGCTTTTGATAGTCTACAGAATATTAATTGTTTGTAACACTGAATTTCCTCATGAAAAAACCAGACTCCCTATCCCCTTTAGGATTAAAAATGCTGCAGGTCATTGAGTTATTTTTGTAGCCAAACTACAGAAATAAATAAATCTACTGCGCTCAGTTAAGCTGGACTGGCACACAGTCCTAGCCTAGTGGTTGTGGCAGGATAATCCAGTGGGCTCTCGCTTCTCAGTTCTGAGCAGCTGCCTGTAGAAGCCGCTTATGATCTCATTGTGGGATGCGATGGAGCCTTCTCGACCGTCAGAAAGCAGTTCATGAGACAAACACGCTTTAACTACAGCCATGAGTACATTCCTCACGGCTACATGGAGCTGACCATCCCGCCCAAGGATGGAGATGTAAGTATGTCTGTCCTAAGGGTGGCTGCAGTTGTCTGAGGTCTGTGGGGACGTCAGAGATAACAAACTAGCCTGTTTCCCCTACACTTTCTCCTTGCCATGTGTCTCACTGATGCATCAGGTACTTTTTTACTGGGGAGAGGCCCAGTTGATCATTGCATCCTCTTATGGTGTAAGAGGATGGGAACTCATGAGCTGGTACAGAAAGAAACCAGTGCATGGTCTAGGTAAGCTGAGCAGAGCTGGTCAGAGGCACTAAGTTTTTGTTTTCGTTTGTTTTTTGTTTTTCTTCTTTTTCTTTTTTTTTTTTCAGTTTGCCATGGAACCGAACTACCTCCATATCTGGCCCAGAAACACCTTCATGATGATTGCACTGCCTAACATGGTAATAGCTCATGGCCATTCTTCCTTGGGGTATAAACACATCCCAGGAAATGGCGCTCTGGGTATTTTTCCCACTGCACAAGCAGGTCTTCATGATTCCCATGTGTCAGACTGGACACTGTACTGTTAATCCGGGCATCAGATGTTCCCTGTGGTCTCTTGGTTCTTTCTGAATCTCCTCTGTAACTGGCAGGACAAGTCCTTCACCTGCACTCTCTTCATGCCTTTTGAAGAATTTGAGAAGCTTACAACTGGCGAGCAAGTACTGGATTTTTTCCAGACCTACTTTCCAGATTCTATTCCCCTCATTGGAGAGTAAGTGTTCTCATCCTTCTCTTACTAATCAACACACAACTATAAAAAAAGCAGGAGACATGCCTGTAAGCAGGGGGGTTACAGCTCTCTTGAGCTTCCTGATGAAACTTCACAGCCTGTAGGTCTGAAAGAGGTGGGGAGTAGACAGACTGTCTGCATTGTTTCTTCACTGAAAAAACAAATAAGAATTGGAAGAGCTGTGAGGTGGACTGATATATCATGAGAATATAAGCCCCGAGTCCATCGGTGATCCAGAACTAGATATGTATCCTCTCCCAGTGTGTGGTCCTCTCTTGCTCCTGTGGAGCTTTAAGAGGAGGTAGGCCATCCCCAGGGAAGGCTGGGAACCTCAGGGTGCTCAGGGATATTCCTGGTAAGCTTTGGAAACTTCACAACAAAGCTGTTTTGAAACTCAAATTAGTTGTTCACGAGCTGAGTTTTCCTGTTGATGGAGTTAGGTGGACAAAGTGACTCCACGAAAGCTGAGTGAAAGGTTGAGAAGAGCAGCACAAAGGCAGTCCTGCTGTTCAATATTTGGGCAAACGCATGGACATTTTAACAGACCGAGGAAAGGCTCATCTAACAGGTATCATGCTTGGCCAAAACAAAGGCCAAAACAAACACCAAAAACCCGCAGACTAAAAGTCTGACATTTATTGATAGCAGGACTAAAATAAATATTGAGCTTGTGGGTTACGGGAGCAGATGGTTCCCAACAACGTGCTAATCCCAGTGGGGGCCCTGCTTGGCTCTCATGCCAGGCAAACAGCACAAGGGCAGCAGCGTGGAGCCAGTGCTCTGCCCTTAGGCACAGCGCATCCTGCTTCTCCTGAGCTTCCCAATGGACATGAGGACATTGACCAGTGTTTCCAGCCTAAGTCCAGATGACAGTTTCTCTGTGCAGTGTGTCCTCATTTCCCAACAAAAGAAAGGAGGCTCCACGGCTGCTGGAGCTCCATCCAGTGTAATTAAAACTTCTGCTCTGTAGCATAACTCTTACCGGCTTTTTCCAGCTGGCAGAATATTTGAACTGTGGTGGAAGTTATGCATGTGCATGCACTCGCACTGAGTTACCTGGCAGAACATGTGAACGGCTATTGATGCTCTGCTTTCAGAGAACCTTTGAGCACATGCTCATCTGAACGCATTGTGGTGTGTCTGTGAAGTGAAGCTTTCTGCTTTTATGCAATCACATCACACCACATTCCTATGGCATCCTTGCTTAACTCAGTGTGGAATTAACGGAATGAGTGTTTTGGCTTCCTTTTTCTTTTTTTTTTTTAGCACAAATATCCCAAAAGTAGGTGTGGTTTTTGCATCCTAAGCTGACTGAATGCCAGTAACGCTGCCTTTCTGAGCCTCAACACAACCTGATATGTTCTCATTGCCCCCCGTGCTGCCATCAAGTGAAGTGTCTGTTGTTTTGCCTGAAGGCGAGAGCTGAAGCGTGATTACTTTTTGCTGCCAGCCCAGGCCATGATATCTGTGAAGTGCTCTTCCTACCACATCGCATCCCGGTGTGTGCTGATGGGAGACGCTGCACATGCTGTGGTGCCCTTCTACGGGCAAGGTATGAACGCGGTAAGTTCATGGTCTTCCCTGGGCTTCAGCTGCTGGGGCTTCACTCTTTTCATGCAGAAATACCCGATTTGAGAGTATAACTTGAGGGCTGCCTTGTCCCGTGGTGTGGAATTCTGTGAGTTTGATGGGAATTGAATTCAGTCAGTTAAGTTGGTGATCCAGCTGGGTACTCTGGGCAGCAAAGGACAAAGTGGTGCTGCTTGCTCATGAGGTAGGGATCTGCGTGGGAGGATGACCCAGCAGGGGAGCCCCAGGCTGTAGAGAAAGACAGCCCTCTACCATTTTCTTACAATATCCCTGACGTTGTAGGCTGCAGGGAGAATCCTGCTCTAAAATACAGTGGTCAGTGTGATCCCACACATGTTAATAGGCTGTACCTGCTAAGCATTCTTGAGGGCATTTTTAAGCACAATTTTCCTGCTGTTTATTTATCCTCCAATTTTTCCCACAGGGCTTTGAAGATTGTTTGGTTTTTGATGAGTTAATGGACCAATTCCACAATGACCTTGGTGAGTGAGACAGAGTAGCAGACTGGTCAAAGCGGACTGGCAATCCTGTGGAGCTGATTGTGGTGCCACTTCTTTTCCCCAGGTGCTTGCCTTCCTGAGTTCTCCAGGCTGAGGGTGCCAGACGACCACGCGATCTCGGATTTAGCCATGTACAATTATGTAGAGGTAGATGAGCAATGCGCGAGCTGTGTGGGTGATGGGGTCTGTGCGTGCAGTGATGTGCTGCCTTGTTAACTGAAGAATTTGCACTTGGGCAGAGAGAAGAGCACAGTAGTTGAGCTCTCCCAGAGCATCCAGTCACACTGTGCAAAGGAGTTTCCTGAGTCTGTGTTTATTTACAGCTGTTTTGAGGATGTGCTGCTCTCTATGGAGACCTGAGTACTTGGTCAAAAACTAAGAGGTGGCTTTGGATGCCCCTCTCCTACTCGCTAATGGGTGTGCGTATTGTCACACAGTGATGGCAAGGCAGCTGTAGGCACCTTTTCCCTGATACTGTTTCCCAGAAACTTTGCTGAACTAACTCACACTAATATAACTTAGCCTAAGAGCTTTGACCAACCCTAGAGTTGGGGAGGCTCTGCTCTCCACAGCACTACTGCCTTTGACAGTGAGAGCCCTGGGGAAAGCTGGCGAGGAGCAGGGATATCTTCCAAGACAGCTTGGTTGGTCTGTTGCAGATGCGAGAGCACGTGAATTCGATGTGGTTCATCTTCCGAAAGCACGTAGACAACTTCCTCCACGCGCTCATGCCTTCCACCATCGTCCCGCTATACACCATGGTGAGGCCAGCTGCTCTGCCCCTGCTTCCCTCCCCTCCTGCTGTGAATGATTTCAGAGATAGTGACTTGCTTTTGCTCTCTGTTTAGGTCACATTCACCAGAATTCGCTACCACGAAGCATTGCAGCGCTGGAAGTGGCAGAAAAAGGTTAGAGCTGGTGTCAACTCCTCTGTGCCAGGACCCTCATGAGCAATGTGTGCTAGCACTGCTCAGCTGTGGGGATGACAGTTTTGATGACAGTTTTGATCACAAGACATAGCAAGCTGGATTTAAAGCTTCCCAGTTGTTTGAGAGCACCCCAGAGGGCTCCACACTGTGTGTAGGGTAGCACGCTTTCCCTGTGTGTGTCTGCAGCAGGAAGCTCCCTGATCCCGGAGCTACTTCTGTTCCTTGCATCACTGGTGTGGCTGGCGTTGTCCTGACACTGTGCTGGGCCAAGGCTGCTATTTCAGCTGGTGTCAGGTAGAGGAGTGCTTGGAGCTGTTCGGGTGGGAGGTTTCCTTTATCATTCTGCCCTAGGACTTGCTTGCAGTAGGGGCAGAAGATGATGCAGTGTGAAAGCAGTGGGAGGTGACCTGTTTTTAGCTTCCCACACTATGTGCGGCCACGTGGCAGCTCTTGGTCCTGCTTGGGAAGAAGGAATGGACATCTGGAGCTTTGTTCCTGTGCGTACCCGCTCTGCCAGAGTTGGTCGCAGACCCTGTTTGCTGACTTCAAGCAACTTGCCTGTCTCTCACTTGGTGCCACAAGGTACAAGCAAACTCGTGACAACACCTGGATTTCTTCTTACACTTGCAGGTAATTAATCGAGGACTCTTTGTCGCTGGAGCAGCAGGGCTGGGTGGCATGTACCTGCTAATAAAATGGCTGACACGGAATACTGATTTCTGCATAGAAAACCTGTGGAGCTGGTCCTACCATCTCAAGAATATTGGAAAATTGTCCTTCAATACAGAAGTGGCTTAAGTGTAAGGGAACTCCTACATGGAATAAAGCAATGGCATGGGCTGTTGGCTCAGTTCTGTGATGTTGTTTCTGTTAGAACGTGACCAGGAATTCCTGTAACCCTCCTTTCTCCTCTCGTCCTGCTGATGAGTGATAGTGTCTCTCAGTCTTAAATTGGTCAGGGTGTTCCAGTCAATTCTATGAAGTTCTGTTCTTTCCAAAATCCATTTATCCCTTTCCCCTCCCAATATGCCTTTAGGAGTTAATTTATCTCAATGGGTTCTTGGTTCTCAGTTGGTGTGGAGATATCTTTGGGTGTCTCAGGTTGCTAATGGTCATATTTGGGAAGATTGGCTTGCAGGAATGAGATTGCTTGATGCACTCGCACCTCTTGCTTTGAGCAGACTCATAGTGTTACCAAGTGTCTCTCCAGGATGGACATACCTGGTCAGAAGCTTCCTATTGATATTAGATGAGCATTATCTCAGGAAAGCAGGAGTCCTGTCAAGAATGTATTTGTCTTCCTGCGTTACTGTTGTCTTCACCGACAGCATTCACAGCAAATTTTAAGCCTCATTTCATGGCCCTCTGGGAATTCTTTCCTCTTAAATGGCTGTTTCTGAAATAATTTAGTAACATGAATCTGTTGGAGGAACATATCTTTGCTATGTTGTTACTATTTTCCACATCAATTAAGCTTTACTTTTTACTTTTGTTTACTTTTTTTTTGTATTTGAAAATATTATTTCAAATTTGCAACCCTTCTCTTTTGCTTTTCCTTCAACACTCATTTTACCTCTGGTGTTGTCAGTCTGCTGGAAAGGTAGGTGCTTCCATGGCTTCCTTAGATCTCCCTCACATGGAGCAGTCACCAAGCCAATAAAAGCAGCTTTGTGCCTCTGGCTTGCATGTGTGTACATGAGCATGCATCTGCGTACAGGTTAGTGTGTTCCTGTGCTTAAACATGTTATTTCAGGTGAACCTGAGAATATGACCTACTTGGGGCTCAGAAATAGCTTGTAAGATTTTTGCTTGAAAGCTTTTTTTTCTTCCCCTCCCCACTCCCAAAACTGAAGAAAATGTGTTTCACTTTTTGTTCTTGGTGGAAATGAAACTTAAAGCTGATCCTGGGGCAACGCTTGAAACATAGAGAAAGGTTCATTTCACATCTGGCTGAGAAATCTTTCTGGATTTTGCATGCAAGTCTCCCCAGATTGCTTGACCAAGGCTTCAGGCTAAAGCAAAGACCAAGAGGCCTGAAGGACTCTCCTAGCTCTGTGTTTTCTTGCTTGGCATTTGTGAGTGTCCTAGCATGTGCATTTGTCTAATGCAATTCCTGATCACGTTTCTCTTTTAAATGGTCCGAATCCCTGCATTTGCACCCCTCATGCAAGCTCTTTAAAGGCATTCCTAAACATGCGTATGTCTGTGCTTACACTGCAGAATCCATACCAGCAGTAAGACCTTCCTTCAGCTGCTGATGGAGATGTTCTCTATAAACTCAAGCACACAAAACCTCCGGTTCCCTGGCAGGGGGCACTGCCCGTGAGCCCCAGGACTGAGACCCCAGGCCCTGGGAGCTCCTTTAGTGGTGTGCAGCCAGCTGCAGGGCTATGCCAGGGCCATGCTGGTGCTGAGGCCGGCTGGGAGGAGGCTGCCACCACATGTCCTGCAATTCCAGCTGCCTTGCGGAAAGAGAATTGGCTGCAGCTGGACCTAGGAGGATGCAGAGACTGAAACGGTTTCTGTTTCAACTACAGGGAGACAAATAGGTGTGGAAGGGAGCACTTGCAGGTGGCTAAGGCTTTCCTATGGCTGGGCCGGAGGTCTGTGTTGCTTGTGTCACTCCTAAGCTCTAGTCAAGACCCTGTGCACTTTCCCAAACACTCTGTGCTGAGGCTACCAGGGCTGCTGAGGGTGAAGTTGTGTATGTCTTGGTGCAGGGTTAGTTCCTGCAAGGAAGGAGCAAGGAAAAGACATGGTTTGCATCATTTTGTGAGTCACTTCTGAGTAGCATGGAAGCATCTCTGGGGATGTAGCTGGAAAATTGGTGTAAATCAGCTTGTTTAGTTGGACAGCGAGTTCTCCAGGTACAGCCTCTACCTGAGACGCTGGCATCAGTGACAACTTTTTTGTAATCCCTTGGACAGGCACTTCAGTTGCTGCCTCTGAACCTGATTTATAGCACGTCATCTGTATTTGTTTTATATATTAATTTTTATTAACTTTAAAGGTATTCATAGAGCAAATTGGGGTATTACATAATACAAATATAGCTATAGGCAGATTATTCCCAAACATAAAGAACTATGCAGATATTTAAGTATGATGAACCCCACAATACAAAAAATAACTTGTGCACCATTTTGAGCTGGAGATGCTCTCTCTGGTACTGCATGTTGTTTAGTTTGTCTGGCCCTTTGAAACAGGCCCTTCACCTGGTTAGTTTGTCTGGGCTTGTAAAGAGGGGAGATATCTTCCTGGGGGAGGAAGAAGCTAGGGCCAAGCAGTGTATTCAAGTTCTTTGATTCTCTGGCTGCTGTTGTTCCACAGTTCAACTAGTTTCTTCTTTACCATCCTGTCATGAAGAGGGCTCAAGACTTCGTGGAGGTAAGCAAAGCTTGTAGGAACCCAAATATAAACTTGGTGGACCCAGAGGTAGCTCTGAGAGTGGAGGCACACTAGGGAGCAGCTGATGATTTGGAAAATAAGATTCAGTGCATGTTTCTTGGCTTCTCTTTGTTTCCAGACACAGGTACTCACCAGCCCTTCTTGCCCATCAGTTCAGTGTAACCTGTAGTACTTTTGCCAGAGCTTAGGAGACCCTCCACATCCATTTCTGAAGGGAGGGCTTTAGAAATAAGCTGCACACATAACATGGCAGAGAACAACACAGTAGGTAAAGACTGGGCACAAAGTAGCCGTGGAGCAGGTCCTGTTAGAACAGAAGGGAAATGGCATTTCTGAAATTCCAGCTCCAAATGAACTGCACATCAAGCTGATTTGGGGGCTTGATCCTGTCACAAAGCAAAATTAGCTTCATGAGCTGGGACAGATGGTGAGTGACACAGGAGCCATTGCCTGTGCCCACTACTAAAATCCTACTCTGTAGTCCCAGCCACAGCAAAACTTGTTCCTTTCTCCCAGCTCCACTACTAGGACCAGTATGAACTGTGTGAGGAGACAGGCACAGAGTGATCCCTTAGCCAAAGCCCAACTTTTACTTGTGATCTTTTGGAAAAAGGGAACAAACCAACAGGTAAAGAATAAGAGATGGAAGCCTTAATGTGAAATTTCCTTAGCTTGGCATTTCTTTCTTTAATGGTGGCTCCTAGCTTTGTCTGGTGTTGCCCCTTTTCATTCTCCGTTGAATCTGGGGTTCACGACTGTGGTGGTGGCACTTTTGAACAGAGGGTTATCAGCCTGGAGAGAGAAAAAGAGTGGGTTTTCTGCATGCACAGACTTGGGCCATTTGGCCCTCCAAGCAAGTGTTACAGAGGTGGCTGCCCCCACCCTCCTTCAAATGGCAAAGTGTTGGCAGAAGAGCCCACACGTGCCTCCAGCTCCCTGCAAAATCCAACCGGACTCCAAAGCCTGGGTAGCTGCAAGGACTAGGTCTTGAAAGCTCTGTGTGGTATCAAGCAGTGACTGTCTTCAGAGATGATGTTCCTTTTGGTTCTGACCTTCCCATCTCCTCCTTTCAACCTCAAGGATTTTTTGGCTTCTCTAACAAATTTCTCTCTTTTCTCCAGTTGCCCTGCTATGGTAGGGCACTGAAGTGAGCTCACTGGGGCCCACCCCTGCTGCATGTCCTCATATCAGTGGCAGGTTATGCCCTGCTTAGTGGGGTCCTGGGTTGTGCCTAGGTGGACCCAGCTCAAGTGAAGGCAGGGAGAGCAGGAAAGCAACTGCACAAGTGGGGAGAGAGTCTTTGTTGTCAGTTGTATCCCATCCCCAGAAAAGAGTTCTCTTACATCGTTCCACTTGGCCTTGGACTTTTCCTTCTCGAACCTGCGGTACTCCCGGCGGTCAAACAGCTCTGTCAGGAGTTTCCAGATGAGCAGGAGCAGCAGCCCGATGAGGGCCACGCCAGCGATGCTGCCGCCCACGATCAGGGCAACGTTGGGGGGCTCCGGGCACTCTGCAGAACAAGCACAGCAGAGTCTCGCTGAAGCCTCCTCACAGGTCAGCTCCACTCCCTGCGGTGCTGCTGCTCCCACCTGTGTGCTGCGTGAAGGACACAGGTAGGTGCTGGCTGCGCCCAGCAGCCTGGAACCACAGCTGGGCTCTCTGATCTTTACATGCAGCAGCAGCAGCAGAAGGGGGATGTGGTCTGGGAGGGCAAAACTGCAAGAGTAGGCAGCAAGCTGTGGGCTTAGTCATGGCTTTGTAGCGCTTTGGTCCCTCAGCTGAGTCCAGATTTAGCTGTTTAGTTCAAAGAATCAAGGTATTTATGGCCTTTAGTGCTTTTGGGGATTGGCATAAGCCCTGGCAAGAGGCGCCTGTTCTGTCTACCCGCCTGAAGAAGAGGGTGGAGAGCACGACTTGAGTACCTTTCGTAGGATCGACATTCACAGTGTATATCTCCTCCCCATCCTCCTGGAACATGTGGAAGGTGATCCAGCAGTTCTGGGAGTCCTTCTCTCTGCATTGCCTTGCTCCTGAGAGCGACTTTTCAGAAGTATTGATGTTTTTGCAGGCTGTAGAGCAGTTCTTTTCAAAGGGCCCACTGGCAAAGGCTTTGCACTCCACACAGGAACTGGAAAACATGCAAATGCCTGGCTTGTCTCTGAGGTGAGAGGAGCCCTCGAGCAGTCCCACAATGTGGGGGAGGATGGCAGCCAGCAGGATGGCTGGGTGGCCCCAACATAAGGCTACCTAAAGGGTAAACCCTAGAGCCGAGTTCTGGGGAGGGCTGAGGGTCTCAAGGTGCTGTGTAGAGTGAGTGGGCAGACTCTCTTTCCTGTACAACTATTCAGGGACGAGCTGGCCATCAACAGCACCAGACTTAGCAATATAAAACCAGCCAGCTCCTTAGGAGGGTGAGACATAGACCAGCGATACCAGCCCCGGTGCTGACTTGCCTGCTGCAGCCCAGGGAAGGGAGGGATGTGCAGGCTCCCTCGTCCTCCCAGAGCCCTGCCCTGTCTGTCTCCGTGCTCATCACTCACATGTATCTGCCGCAGGGCGATGGGCAGCCAGGACAGTCTTGGCAAAAGGGGGGCTGGTAGAGCCCCCTGCATTGGCACTGGTTGCAGTGGCATTTCCCTCGGTTGCTGCACTCGTTCCCACGAATGTTCAAGCAGCCGTCTGTTGACTTCTGGCACTGGCACGCGCTGCCCTGGTACTCCTGCGTGCACCTGCACTTGCCGCAGTCGCAGTAGCCGCGCTCTGTGGGGAAAGCAGAAACTTTGAGCTGGTTTCCAGCCCCTTGTCAAACTTCACAGCTGTGGCTACAGCCATTCACCTGCTTGAAGACCAGTGTTCTGCCTAGCTGTCGTTGCTTGCTGGGCTCCTGCTAGTCACAGCAACTTAGCAAGGCCTCATCTGCTCCCCAACAAGAGAAATTAACTGCAGTGTTGCATGATCTCCAGTACTGCTCTGCAGGACTCAGAATTTCATCCATGGGACACCTCTCAAACAAGATCTTGTAGGTGCCTAAAGAAACAGTTTGCAGGGAGCTGCTCTGTCAAATATTGTTTCCCTTTTTTCCCCATATTTTTGCATTTGGCACAGAGCACTCCTTGGTCTATCAAAATCATACTTGGGGATGGAGACGTGAGTGTCCTTCAAAAGTACCTTCTCTGGTGCACTGAGGATGAGGGAAAGAAAAGAAGAGCTAGGAGCTGGTCAGGCTTTGCCAGCTGGTACCACATCCCGGCTTGGAGTCAGCTACTGTTTAGGGCCTAAGGCTCTCACCTTTGCCACCACACGGCAAATTGTTGTGAAACTCGCAGTTCATGTTGTCACATTCACAGAAGGTGCCATAGATGTGCTTGCCAGGCACGTCGCTGGTGTGGCAGATGCACTGCCCGCACACACAGTCCCCCAGCCCCGAGCAGATGACAGACGTGTTGTCCTTTCGGCAGCTGCCTTCCAGCTCTTTGTTGCTCTTGCCCTTGGTTTCACACTCACACTCCTTCCCAGTGTAGCCTGAATTGCAGCTGCCGTAAAAGAAGAAAAAGGAATCTGGATCAGCAGCCACGAGAAAGGCTGGTGCCAGGAGTAAACCTGCTGTGCCAAGTTCTCCAAGCCCAGCCAGCAGTTGCTGCTCTGTGAGCCCTGGATTTATAAGCATGCTCTTATACCCTGCACAGGTATGTATGCACCGGGCTGAGCCTAGGACCTTGGCTAAAGCAGAGCATAGCTGGGACAGGCTCAGGGACAACAAGTGAGTCACCAGGCATCTTCACCTCATCTGCAGCAGCATGTGGTGCATGTACTGCACGTGGTGCATGTACTAACTGTGTTCAAGCAGAGTCCTTAACCAGCTGGAAACCACAGAAACATAGCTGGGTAAGCTGGTTATTTTTACAATGCTAAATACTTGCCCGGAAATTATTATTATATTTATGATTTCCAAACTCTTGCCAGGAGTTCTTAGTATTTCCTGAGGAAACCCAGTCTTTTCCTCTCTCCATCTGTGAGGGACCATGAAGTGGTAATTATCTTTGCTTAAGGACCGTCATGAACTGCAGCCCAGAAATTAGGTTTTTATGGAGATTTCTACAAGAAGCCACTGCTGCTTGATGGATGGATACCTGTAGGAAAGCAGCAGAGACTCCATCAAGGGTGATAGCTCATAAGGGCCCTTGTCACTGGGAGATTAAGCTGCTACTCTAAACCAGAAAATTGGTGCAAAACCTCAAAACTGAGCCATGGCTGACTATCTAGTGTAAACATCTCTGCTGGCCCTCATGAGGCCTCCAGTTCTCCAAGCAAAATGTGCTTGGAGACACCAAGCACAACTTGCAGCTGCTCTTGCCCTGGCACATCTACCCTCTCCTAGCACTTCCCCAATGTTGGCAGCTTTTGAATCAGCACTGTCAGACTTTACCTGCAAATCCCACAAACAATACTGCCTTGCCCATTGCAGTCGTTTTGGTTAGGCTGTTCACGGCAGTTGCAGTTACAGTTGCTGTCAACGTAAACGGTGAGCGTGTCTGTGAAGCCCAGCGGTCGGATGGTGAAGGACTGGCTTTTGATGCACTCCTTTGCTGTGACCTTAACTCGGAAGGTGACCTAGAAGATACAGAGCCAAAAAAAAAAAAAAAGAGAAACATCAAAGGTCAGAAGGTAGCTTCAGTGATTAGAGGAGTGGTATTGACCACATGGTTTGGGCATGTGCCACGGTACTGGCTGCTTTGACCAGTCCAGGCAGACTGCACTGAGTTACTGGGCTACCCGCCTACCCCAGAAGGTCTGCTCCATAGGGCTGTTCCTGGTGCCTTTTCAGGCCTTGTTTTTGGCCAGCACTACAGCAAAATGCCTAGAGATGCATAGATTTTAAATACCGAAATGCAGCATCTTGGGCCCTCTTGGCCTTAAATTCACATGAATAAGAAGTCTGGAGCAACAGACTGGATTTCTGCCATTAAAAAGAGAAGATGCAAGTGGTGCTGTGAGCTCTGCAGCTTTCCCAGTACTAGGGAACATACCACATCATTTATCTTAACGTCGTCACACCGTCCTCTTGCTTCATCCAAGATGTTCTTGCCTTTTTTGCAGATGGAGTCATATTTGATATCTAGGACATCTGATTGAGTGGTGTGAGCCAGGATGATTTGCGAAGACAGGTTCTGTGAGGAAACAATGGAGAAAATGCTTCAGACCAAGAAGAGACTAAACCAAGGCAATTCATCCTGCACTACAGGTCAATGCTCCCCTATGGAGAAATTGGTGGCAGGAAGCAACCCAAGCTGCAGTCTCAGCTGCTTCCCCATGGATGGGGATGACAGACAATGGGGCTGAGAATGTTGAAACTTCTTGCTTGTGGGTAGAGGGAATGAGCGTGTCCTGTTTTCAAAGCCATGGACTCATCTACTCTGTTCTGTGATGATAGGGATACAGGATTGAAGCTTTCCAAAGCTTCAATCACTGTTGGACAGGCAAGATGCGTCTTTGCCTAGCACTTACATTGTAGGCCACCTGGATGAGTTCGATGATGTTGCTGGAGTCTTCATTCAGCTCCCCCACTGCTGACTTCGGGATCATTTCACTGAGCTTCTGCCAATAGACAGCAAACATGTATCATCATACCTAATACGTGAGAGTGGAGCACAGAGAGGACAGTGCAACTCAGGCTTGGCCCAGTGCAAGGACTTGGTGACAGGAGGACACACACATCCATTTTTGTCCTCCTTGGAGAGGATGTTAGGTCTCTGGGCCATTCAAAGTCTACTTACTTTATAAACATCCACCACTTTACTAGTGACAGCAAAAATGGGCTGAATGTTATTTTCAGTGAGCTTTTGGATCAGCTGGCCAACAGATGGATAATCCTGTGTGAGGAGAAGGATGACAGCTTTCAGTTCAGATTCTTTCCATCAACAGAGCAGAGAATACGTTTGGTTACGTGGCCCCTCTGTGGTCTCAGTAGGGTCAGTAGTTTGTTGTAGTGAGGTTGCTTGGAGGTTGTCCCAAGGCAACTCTTTTAGATTCGCTAGACTGATAGGAATCTCGTGGCCTCGATAAAAGGCTTTATGGGAATGCTGGGGGAAAACACAGAGATGTCTCTTGAGTGAAGGTGTCTCTGGTTTGCTTGTTTTACCCAGAAGGTCAGCTCAAGGCTTTTGCTGGTGGGTTCACTATAGGGAAGACCACACAGAGGGTCCCAATTTATGATGACCAGCAGTGACAAAGAAGCGTTAGCAGGGGAGCCTCACTGTATGATTTGCAGCACGTCCATTCCCAGGGGATACTGCATCCATGGCTCTACGGGCAATTACCAGGTCCTTTGGGAGGGCTGGTGACTCCTATTGCAGATGTGACAGGCGGGGCCCAGGGATGAGATGTTGCCTATGCAAGGATAGGGTTTGGAGCCATCAAGCAGCCCCTGTAGAAGAGGCACTTTGGGCTTGCATCGTCCAGGGTACTTACAAACTCATTGCTCTTTGCATACATGTTATTTTCCAAATGGCACTTGCCGTCGTTGGGGGTGAGGATGCCCCCAAGTTTGCCATCGCCAGCGAAGTGGAAGCCATCATCAGTCGCATACACCAGCAAGCGGGTTACGTTGCGCCAGCCGATCAAGTCCTGAAAGCAGCATGGACAGCACTCAAACCTGTCCCTGAACAGGGGCTGGGGGAGACAGGGACAGCCAGGCAGGACACAGCCTCGGGATTCACCCCTGCCTGAGGAGAATGCACAGCATTTCCAAAGAACATTACATCGAGCGTGCTGCACATGCGCAGCTGAAGGCTGACTGGCCAGAGGAGGCAGGTGACAGATTGGAGAGGGAGGCTCTGGGGTTCAGAGACTCTGTCTGTATCTCCTTATTATAACCTGCTCTGGTGCTGAATTGGGTTTTTATATGTGTAACAGACCTGAAGGTTTGATGGGCCTGAGTCTGCCTGGAGAGAGACAAAGTCAAATCCTGACGGACTTGCCTTGAAACACAGTTAAGCTTCCCTTGTGTCTGTCGAGCAGTTATATTAGTGGTGAAAAGGATACAGGGCCACGACATTGAGGAAAAGACTCACCCCACACACTGCTGCTTGCATCATTGCGTCCAGCCCCCCCTCTGGGGCATCCAGGTTCCCTGAGATGAACTGCTTCCCCACTTCACTCTCAAATTTTTCGGCATCATTGGTCAGTGAAAGGATGTGCTTGAAAGCAAAGGGGGGCTGGCAGTTGTCAGATTTTTTGGGGCAGGGGTTCTGTAGCTTCTCCGGGTGCGTGTTCACAAAGGGCAGCACTGTCTTATCCACAAAGGAGCCGAATCCTGGGGTATTCAAGAGTAGCAATGTTAGGGAGAAAGGTGGGCAGAGATGGGGTGGGTGTCCCTACAGGGTAGCCCACTGTAGGTCACCTGTTGGCACCAAGATGGAGAGTTGCATGTTTGTCCAAGCACAGTTCCCAAATGGCCCATTCCTGGCCCGGGTGGACTCTCCAGCTTGGCAGAGGACAGGTTATACTGCCCACTGCCTGTGTCCTGCTCTGTCCCCATGCTCTCTTCTGGTCTAGTGGTTCTCTGAGGTTCAAAAGAGGCCAGGCTAGGGTCTTGTACTAAGGAAATACTCACCTATGCGGCGAGAGGGAGTGGTGGCTTCCAGTGCTCTGAGCAGTTCCCCTCCCAGCTTCTTCACCTTCTCCAGATCATCAAGCATGGAGTAGGAGAGGTCCATGAGATAATAGAGATCAATGGGATAACCCGTGGCACGACGAAACTTCACCTCGAATGTAGCAGGCTGGCCTGCAGGACAGAGATACCACAGCCCAAACACCAGGGTCACTCTGCTGTGTTTCATACCTCGCCCCACCTTATCCCTCTCCTTGGAGCTTCCTGTCTTTAGGAGGAAATCAGGACGAAGCGTGGTGTGTACTGTGCTGTTGTGACCCTGAACGGATAGAAGACCAGCCCTGCTGCTGGGAGAAACTAATCTCTCATCCACCCTCTTCCAGGAAGGTGGCCCCAGTCTGGTTAACCCTCCCTCTGACAAACTTCATGTCTTCTTCAGTTCAGCCAACTTCCCAACGCAGCACTTCTCTCTCTCTGGTGCTCCAGTTGTGGACTGTAACTCAGCCTGTAACACAGCTCCTCTCGGCTTCTGCTCTGAGGAACATGCCCATTTCCTCTGAAAGAAACCTGCCTTCCTCCCCCTCATCTCTCTCCTCCTGTTACTGTCTTGTCTAGGATCCCCTGATACTCTGCTGGGGTCTGCAGGGAGCTCTTTCCTCCTGGTGGCCTCACGCTTGCTCCCATCACACAGGAGAGCCACGCTGGAGCCTGCAGAAGACCACAACTTGCCTCTCTGTTTGTGTCCCTTTATCACCAACTGTCTATCGCCTGCCAGCAATATGTTCCCCTCCGCCCCCTCCACCTCCTCTCACTTCTTCTTTAGAGTTCTCCAATCCTGTCTCTCCTTCTCAGACTACCTCCTAGATGAAGCTAAGAGCCGGATTTTCCACCTTGTCCTCCCTGAGTTGTCACTTGCTCTCACATCCTCACCTGGCTTCCCTGAGTTCTCATGTCTTTCTCCTTTCTTGCATCCTCCTCTCACAGAATCACAGAATGGTTGAGGTTGGAAGGGACCTCTAAAGATCATCTAGTACCAACCCTCCTGCTCAAGCAGGGAAACCTAGAGCACATGGCACGGGGTCAGATCCAGGTAGATTTGGAAGATCTCCACTCTTTACTCTCACCCTACTCCTGCTCAGTAGATATTCAGGGGAATACATGGCAAGGTCACCTACAGTTTGATTTTGTGTGCCTTCTACACATCAAAATACTGCTTAAGACAAATGTTAGAAATACCTAGACCAATTCAAACATAATTAAAACAAGAAAAATCAAACAGCAGTACTTTGGAGTGGGCCTACATTCTTTGCTTCCTTTCGGAGATAAACTGATGGAATTCCATAAACTGATGGAATGAGAGAGTTGAATTAAGAAAAAATACACTGAAAAGCAGTGGGAGAAGAACAGTGGGAGCAGAGGGAGGTGAAGACATGCGGGTGGGGTCCTGCTCACAGGAAAAACCATATGTAGTCAGACCCCCACACATCTGGATGATAGTGACAGAAATGACCTTGCTACGAAGTAGGGACAGCAACAGCTCTCAAATACCGCGTGAGATGTCTTAAACAAGCACCATGTTTTCTTTCCGATGACATAACTCACAAAAATTCTACATTCTCTCAAAAATATTGAAAAATATTTGGGGAAATGTAAAGTAAATTAAGGGCATTTCTCTGTAAGTTCTAAGACTTGTAATAATCTATGAGATTCCAATAATTTTATCACTCTTAACCTGCCTTTTTAACCTCTGTTTACCCCCAGACCTACTCCCTCTGTTTACCTTCAGGCCTACTTGACCTCTTTAGCCTCAGGACTACCTGACCTCTTTCCCCTCAGGCCTACTCGTCCTGTTTACCCTCAGGTCTACCTGATCTCTTTACCCTCAGGCCTACTCTCTCCCAATCTATGTTTTGTGTCAGACCATCTTCCCCATCCACACAAATTCAGTCACTGTCTCAAGGTGGATAACTCCTCTGTCTGTTCCAGCGCTTAACCTTTTCTCAGCCTTGGAGTGATCACTAAGTTCCCCTGCTCTGATGAACTCTTAGTATCAGTCACTTCAGTTCTGCATGAGTAACACGTGCAACAACTACTAGCCAGCTCTGGTTGCTACTCCGTGAAGACTGAGGGATCAGCTGAAAGGTCATTATGAAGCCAGGCAAACCATACCTGTCCTTAATTTCAGGTGCACTTGTTGGGGAGTCAGCTGTATCTTGTCGCTTAAAGCACTGGCTTTTGTCACTCTAATATCATTGATTGGAAACTCAATGTCGTCACGCGAGCATCCCTTCTGCTCCAACTGCTCTATGGTGTCACAGCGGATAGAGTCTGGTTCTCCAGCTTTGGTGAAGTTCTGCATGTTGTAAAATCAACAGGAAAAATCAGGAATGGGAGGAAAACAGTCATGTTGCTAGATAATCCCACTCCCAAACTGGGTCTGACACAGCTGTGAATTATTGATGGAAAAAGTGAGATTGTAGAGGTCCTGCCTGTCAGGTCTGTCTTGGCCCCATCTACCAGGTAGAGCATGAAAGGCCGTTTTGCTTTTAAAGAGCAGGTAAGCAAGCACTAGCATCTGGCAGAGGGCAGATGGTTGCTCCTGCTGCCTACCAAATGGTCACGGGTGCTGGCATGGGCACAGGGGCCACAATCTCCCTCCTTTGCAGCTTGCAGAGCCTTGGGTCACTCTCTCCGGACCTAAGCAAGATGGGAGAGATGGGAAAGACTGGCTCATTGACACTAGCAGAACTCTGCCTCCAGAGCTGCTGGGGCATGACACTGAGGCACAAGCTGAGATGCTCTCCTCTCTTGTCACCACAAGGCACGGTCCCGTTAATGGAGCAGGCAGGGTAGATGCCCTGTGGTAGCTGTCCACTGGATGCTGATGGCATGAGAGGCTACGCAGACCTACCAGCTTCTTGCACCAGGCACAGCCAGGGCCAGACTGGATGCAGTCATTGCACGTCCCCACCTTGGTCTTGGTGCATTCCATGGCAAAAGCTGAAAGGGAGACAAAACAAAGACATCTTGCTGGGGCACCCCTAGAGAGACCCAGTCCACACTGGTGGCAGCCACAGGATGCTCTGACACCCAGCAAGAAGCACGATATTGTCCTACTGACCTGAGCTCACTCTGCCTATAACCTCCCATGCCCTTGTAGCAGGCCATATCAGAGCCCACACCAGCATTTCTATCCTTTGGCATCTGAGGGGCAATATGCCACCTTCCAGCCTTCCATGTCATCTTCGGAGTCACATTCACACTGTTGTCTTTGGTCTTCTCCCCCTCTACCACTGTTTTACTGTCCACATAAAGTGCTGAGAGGGAAGATGGCAAGGAAAGCCAGGACTCACCTGTTGGCAAGACCAGCAACACCCAGGTCACCAACAGCTGCTGGAGGTAGCAGTCACGGGGCATTTTCTGCAAGACAAAAAGCATCCTTGTGACAGCCCAGTGCATGATCTTCAAGTCCCTGATGGAGGTGGAAGACCAAGAGCTCCAACTGAAGTACTTTGGAGAGACTAGTCAACGTAGCTGGGCATGTGAAAGCGCTCCCACGCCTTGGACAGCCCTCTGGTCTCCCCTGCTAGTCCTACAGGTCACCATGCCATCTGAATGACCCTGCCCAGCCATGACTTCCATAAAAGATATAAGACTTGTGTAAAGGATGAAATATCCTGCTTGTTTTCTTTTGTTCTCATCCCAGTTCTCTCTCATTTCTCTCTCATTTGGGACCATAAAGCTTCCAAACCGCCTAACAGCTAAAGCTAGGACAGCATATCAGGGAAACACCACTCCTCCCTCCTCTGCTACTGGATAGAGAGGGAGATCGTGGTTGAATAGGTCTGTGGGCTGACTCAGGGTGGCAGCTCTCCTGTACTCGCAAAAATAAGTTGTTCTGCAGCTAAATATAGCTCCTAGACTAAATGTGGATGTCAGTAAAGCAAGAAAATACACTGTATCTGTACCCATTTAGCTAAACTGCTACAAAACTTGATGTATTGCTCATCTAGACTCTTTATACATACATGCACACTCATATATAAATTTATTTAATAAATCGCAGTTTTATCAATTCTCATTTAATAGTTAATGTAATTATTTACTGAATAATATGTTTATATATATTATAAATAGTGTTGGAATATGTCCAGTGGCAAATTTAGGAATCAAAATGACTAACAGAAGCATTTATAGATCCTGTTTTTTAGTTAACTAGCATACATTGCTAGGTAACTAGATATGGTAAATGGTGAAAAATATATTTAGTATTCATCTCCACCCCCAAAATGAGCTGAACCAGTCAAGAAAGGTTAAAATAATGGAAATACTCTTTCTTCCTCTGCAGAAAGTCTTGCCGCTCTGAAGGACGGGTGACAGATTTCAGTGCCAGCTGAATTCGGTGCTGCGATTTCAGCTGGGACATTGCCTTTGCACACCTGATGTCTTCCACGATAAACCGAAATTGCTTGGATATTATTTTTACATTGAATGTGAGTGGTTGCAATAGTGGTGGCAATGGCTGCAAAAAATGAGAGTAAATTTAGACCTTAACTCGTCAGTACTTCTGTCTAGCTACTGTCATTTTGAAAGTGAAATACGTGTTTCAGAGTTGATACAGGTGACTCTGGGGTTGCTGTCTCAGGCTCTGAGCAAGGGTGTCGCTGCCCGCGTGCCCTCTCCTTCAGCAAAGGCAGCTGGAGGCACGTGGGATTTTCTCCAAGCTCTCAGCTGGGCTGTGAGCACTCCCCTCCCTTTGGGCACCCGCTGCTGGTGTGAGGGCCAGGCCTTGGCACCGGCAATGGCATTTCCACCAGCGGGATCCAGGCTGCCGAGGGGTCTTTGTGGTCGCCCGCCGGCACAGCCACCCCTCTTGCCTTCGCGCCACAGCTGCGACTCCCCGGCGCCGAGATCGCGCTCAGCTGCCCCACACGGGCTGCGCTTCAGGGGCTGTCGCAGGGTGTCCAAACCGCGCAGCACTTCCCTGCCTGAAAGAGGAACTCCCCTAGCCGGCTGCCCTGCCGCGGGCGCTGCGAGCGCTCCCGCTCCCAGCTCCCAGCTCGGAAAAGGGCCCTGGGAGTCCCAGAGGGAAAGGTGGGGAGCCCGCTGGCGCTAGCCCGGCTCTGAAGGAGGCTCATTCCCGCAGGGGCAACAGGGCTAGAGCTGGCAGGGAAGCGTCAAGCTTTTGTCGCTGAAGGAAATAGTGCAGTTTTGAATCCGTACTGAGCTTTGCACGACTACTTTCTTTATTGCCTGTGGCTTTGCCAAGATCCGATTTCACCAGTTTCACAACCCTCCATTCCATTCTCCTCCCCTAAAACAGGGAAAACAAAAAGCAAACGTGAGGGGAAGCATAGGGACAACACGGGTTTCCCTCCCATCAAACAGGAAAAAAAGCCATCCAGGGTTTCCTCATTGTTATAGGGGCACAAGAGCCTCCATGTGCAGGTGGGACACATATGCCACAGGGCACAGGTGATCTGTGTCCTAGGAATGCCAGCATCCTCCTGTCTCCTTGTGCAGCAAGGCAGAGGCTGGGGAGGCTCTCTCCAGCAGCACTGTGCAGGCTTCAGCCTGCTTGCATGGCTAGTAGCAGACTGGCGCTTGCACACGAGTGCCACGCAGGGAAGAAAGACGGGTCTGTATCATGTCCTGCTCTGGGTAGGTGGACCAAGATGTGATGCCCTGGCTGTGGGGTCTGGGGCCAGGGGGCTGTGGAGGTGAGTGCACAGACCCTACAAGTGCAGGGAAGGGCTCCCAGCATGGCCCTGCAGGATGCCTCCAAGCACACCAACCGTTTGCTACCCGGAGTCACCACTCCTGCTATTATGCTAGTGTTTTAAAGCACGATAGAGATGGTTATTCACAAACATTTTCCTAGTGCAAGTTGTCCTAGCTGCTCACACCCCAAGAGTGCCCTAGAAGATGTCTTCTGAGCCCAGAAACTCATGCTATCCATACAGGTGGCTAAGTTGTTTTCAGGGATCACCAAAGATGCTGGTTGCAAAGTGAGCAGAATGCAGCATCCCAGGCTGTTTGTGGGACATGCCACAGGTCTGTTGCTCCCATTTCTAACGTGCTGAGGCAGGAGCGAGTTGGATTTTAGAGCTGTTTGCTCAGCTCTAAGGCTAATATGGCCCCCTCAGTGTGCACATGGAACAGTGTTTTTGTGATGGTGTTTATGAAATCATGTTAACCCTGTTGCGTCTTATGAGGGAATTCTCTGAGCACAGTCAAGAAGAGTGGTGTCCCAGCAGAGCTGTGACTGTCCTTACGGCACAGACTCAGTCAGTAAGAAAAGAGGAATACAATGAACACTGCCCTTTTCAGAAGTAGACACAACATGAGACAAATAGATCATAGGTTTTGAAATAGCTCTTAGGTTGCCCTGAGCTATAAACAAACACTCCCTGGTTCCCAGCAGACTTCAGTCCTCTGCCCTACCCCGCCTATGACTCTGCGAAACAGAGGCCTCAACAGCTACCAACCTCAACCACTTTGTGTAAAAAGGAAATGAGAAACCATCGGAAGGCGTTACGGCCAAACCAGTATATATGGCCACTCAGATCTGCTTCAGAGGCATAATGATACATTTTTAGCTCATTGGCCATTGTAAGATACCTCACAGATAAATAACATTGAAGGTCAAGAATGATCCTGGTCAGATGTAGAGCATCTTCCTTCAAAAAAATGTCTTCCTCCTGAGGGTAGCAGTTGCACTCTCTGAGCAGGAGGAGTCTAATAAATAGATTAACAGAGAGGGAGGGAGGAAGGAAGGGAGATAGATAAGTGTCATGTTCTCTCACAGCCCAGAACCTCATGCTGTGGTGCCTGGTCACAGCCAGCCTCTCACAGCTAAACTGAGCCCTTCTTTCAGAGGCACCTCCTGGGAACTCAGCTCCTCACATAATCCATCATACCGTCTAATGAATTCTTAAGAGCATCAGCTATCATCACAGTTGAAAAGTCTCACTATCCTCTAGTCCGCATGGGTCTGGCTCCACCTCCAGCCCGTACATCCAGATCACTGAAAAAGCTCCAAGATCAGAATTCTTTTGCCTCTTTGGATTCTTACGTACCATAATCTAACCACCGCCTCAACATCTCCTTCTTAAGCTGAAAGGTTGAACAGCCCCAGTCTTCCACTGTAATGCTTCCCAGTAGCTACTGAAACTACTATTTATTATTCAATTTGTTGTATTTACAGTTTTTATTTGTTATTGAGTGCTGCTTGTACCTGAGTTTCAGGGTCACTGGGTGGGGAGTTTTCAGCTCAATCAATTTGCTACTTAGCATACTAACACAGCACCAATATTTGCCTAGCTATCTAGTTCTTTGTTAGTTTTCTAAAAGACACAAAATACTAACAGCAGTAACTCAGAGATCTCCCTTCAGGCCTTTTAAGAGTATTGAGGGCAAGTCATGTGGTTCTGCTAATTTAGAACAGCACTTGCTGATTAACACCTGTAATTCCCTGGCCAGAGATAGTCTCCTAGTCCTGCAGTAGCCACAGCTGCTGGCTTCAAGCTAAAATAAATGCTGATTTCTTTGCCCTTTCCTGCTGTGTTAACAGCAAATTTACCCTCCCCACCTTCATAAATGCTACTAACAGAGGTTTTTTTTTTTTGACATAAGTATTCTGAGATGGTTTGGGAAATTTTCCACCACTTGGTGGTCCACAGTTGATTAGAAACCCCGCAGGCCTGGGGCTGCAGAGAGTGCTGTGATGCTGTATGGCTGCAAAACCCTGTGAGCGACAAGAGAAGGGACTTGGTATAACAGCTTCTCTGCAAGTCAGAACAACTCACGCTGAGAGAAGGGAAGAGCAAAGCTTCCCACACAGCTCCCTTGCCTTGTTCCCTGTAGCAGTCATTTGATGGATGCTGTCAGTGTGGGTAAGTAGGCTCCAGCACTTCCACGAACGGTTGCCCAGAGATGCCTGCTGCTACTGAAGTGGTTCTTTTCTTTGTTTTCACAGATTAAATACTACTTTAAAAGGTGAAGTAAAGCCCTGTACTTATTCCTCTGCTGCCTTTTTGTTGTTGTTTCCTTCCGTCCTGTGTGTGTAAAGCTGACCTAGCTGTGGTTGAAGTTGAGCTGCTGTGGGATGAAGGTATCTGGGGGAGGGAGATGGAGCCGGGAGTTGCTTTGTAGAGATGTGGGAGGTTTGAAGACTTCTCTTCATGTGAAAGGACTCACCTCCCTGAGCTCAGGGTTTCACCCCTCAGGGTCTGGCTGCTCTGCTAATAATAATAATAGAGTAGGTATAAAAGGAAAAAAGTTCTTTGTTCACAATAGTTATTTCCTGCTGTGGTGCACAGTGGTTGTATCTCTCTACTGCTTCTTATTGGGATGTCTCATGCCAGCTTCCTCCCTCAGATGGAAGTTCAGGTCTGGAGCTGTGCACAGGTATGTGTCTGGCTTGCATAAACCTGCAGCTTCTTTTATAGACAGGGATTAAAAAATCTGCCCGTTCAGACTGTGAGGACAACACATGGTCTGGATGAGCTCCTCTAGGTTTCTGTGCCCAAGATTTCCAAGTTGCAGTGCCAAAATCATAGGGCAGTGGTGAGACTGACACCCTGTTAGACCCCATGTTGACTCTTGATGTACCACGCTGGAGGTAAAAGAGAACAAATAGACAGGCATAACTGGACTAAAAAAACCTCCCAAACCTCAGAAGTATAATGGGAACCTTAACACATGCTCAGTTCTGGCTGCAATTGATTCTTCTCCTGTAGGGTTTGTTTTGTGGGTTGGATTTCAGTGCTTTTGTAATCTTAAAAGGGTTTCTTTTCCCCATACAGGAATGTAAGTGAACCCTGATGCTACAGGAGAACAACAGAAGAAAGCTTGCTGCTGTGGAAGGAAATTATTCACTGTGGTGTGGGTAGATGTGTGCGTATGCGATGCAGGGAGATTTTTTCAAAGGGAACAGATTGTGCTTCTGCATTTGTCTACCTCCTTGTAGTCCTTTCTCTTTGATTACCTGCACTAGCAGTTCAGACCTGGCCCAGCCTGGCCCCAGCAGAATTTACTCCAACCCCTTTTGCAATCTCTCCTTTGCTCGGTCCTGCCTGGGCCTCTACTGCGCTGGCCACGCAGGCCCCTTAGCTGCTCCAAGCAGCTTTTCCCTAATTCCTTGGCAGCCTCTTCCTTTGCATGTCCTCACGCAGTGCTGGAGCTAGGAGGCTGTGGCCACTGCTGACAGAGCACGGGGTGTTTGCCAACGAGCAGAGCCTGCCCGAGGCCTGTGGTGAGCAGGGAAGGGGCCTGGGGGCTGCAGGGCTGCATCCTGCCCTCACCTGCTCGCTCTCCGCTCTGTTCCCTTACATGGAAACTCTTCCCCCGGATGTGGTCTGTCTGGGTTCTTTTTATGTAAAATGAGACAAGGCTTCTTCCTAGCAGAGGATGTTGGAGGACAAGGGGGCCAGTTCAGCCCCCCGCCCAGGCAGGGAGCTGGCAAATGGTCCTCCCTCCTGGCCTGGTGCAAGGGAGCAGGGCGGCAGAGCTTCACACCTGCCTTCGCATCAGAACTGCCCTGTCACTGACCCGCTTCTGCCTGAGGGCTTTCCTCAAAGCAGTCCCAGTCCCATCCAACGTGGTCATTGCGCTTTTGGCTTTCAGGAGCCAACTGTGCAATGTCCCAGGCCCAACATTGTCTGGTCTTGCTGTGGGTTTATCAACAACTCCTAGAAGAACTTTGCCTCCGGGCAGATGGGCAACACTGAAACCCACATTTCGTTGTGCTGCTGCTTTTCCCAGCTCCTCGCTGAACCAGAGGTTGGGCAGCACGAAGCAGCCAAAGGGTGGACATGAGATGCCCGCCAGCACCACTAGTTCCCAGGGCCAGTCAGCAAGCATGGCCTCAGCTGGGACGGCGCTTGGCTGTGCTCACCATGGACCCCAGGGCACCCACAGCCATGTGCTGGAGTGGGACACGGATGCTGAGCCCTGCTGAGTGGCAACTGAAAGCAAGAGGAGGACAAACACTATGAGAGATCAGGGAGAAAGTGAATGATGGAGCAGTGATGCACAAAACCAGTCAAATGGGTGCTGTGGTGGCAAAGCAGGGTGTAGAGGCTAGGGGGAGAAGAAGCATCCTTAAAACATCTGCACCTGAATCATCACATATCAAGAAGTCATGGAAACCTGTAGCCTGAAGCAGTAAGGAGGGATATGTGCAATTGCTTCCGTGTTCACAGAAACCAAGGAAATTTGCCTGTGTGATGAATGTCTGGGACGGTGGTGTTGCTTTGCAGGGAGCCCTTTGGAGAAGCCACTAGGGAGCCTGAAGGGTATTTAATTTACCGAGCCCCTCTCATTTGCTGTGTTGTATGAATGTGGCTCGGATGTGAAAAGACGTTCCCAAAGTGTTGGCAAGATGGAAGATCCTAAAGTGACCTCGGAGGAAGCAGGTGGGGAGTAAAGCCTGTACGTCCTGTCACTTGCAAGGGAGTTGTGCTCAGTGGAGCCCAGGTCCGAGCAGTGGCACCAAGTAACTTGCTACACACTGGGACCTCCTCAAGTCCCTGCGATCGGGCGGATGCGACAGATCAGGACGGGTTTCTTTCCAGCGCTGAATTTATACAGAGGAAATGTTGACCCTTGCAACAACCTCTCTGCTACAAAAAATAGAGGAGCACCAAAAAGAAGAGCTGGGTCTTGTAGCCTTTTAGCCACAACCTTCCTTTGCTGCACTGCTCAATATCAGTATTTTCTTGCGAAAGGGAGGGCTGCAATCTCACAGTAGGTCTGAGGAAGCCTCCTCGAGCGCTGGCGTCACCCGCTCGCGGTGCTGAGGAGCTGCCCGCTGCAGTGCCGATGCCCTGGCGCTGCGGGGTGCTTCCTCGGAGCCCCGCTGTCCCCACGCGTCCCCGGCACAGTGCCACCGCGCTGTGACAGGGCCTGGGCCCCACCGCAAGCGTGCGGCGCATGCCTTGCCCTGCGCGGCCCGGCTCCGGCGAGGGGTGGCCCTTACCACCACTGGCCACTGCCTCTTTTTTTGCCCAGTTGTGCAATGCCGATGATCCCCATAAAGCCAGCCAGCCCTACCCAGCCTTTCTTCTGCCCGAGTCGCTGATATGCCAGTGCTTACAATATATCACGCGGTGTGGATGTGCGTGCATGGCTCACAGACATATGTATGCATGCAGACATCTGTGTCTGTACATCCCTACCCAGGGCCTTGGGGGTCTGCCTGCATCACCGATTCCCATCTCCCCTCGTCACTGGTGTTGATGTCCTGTGGCACTTGTCATAGATCAGCCAGGATCTATTTACCCAAATATGCCTTGCTGAGTCCTGTTCTCTTCTTCTAGGCACAAATGGTGGCAACATGGACAAGGGTCCTGCAGGAGGATGGAGCTTGAAGAACCTCTGTGGCAATTCCTACGCTTCCACTGCAACCTCTGGTCCGGCCACAGGTTAGAAAGTGGGGCAATGAATGCTCAGGATCCCTCGCCAAACTGCCAGCAGTGAAAGGCTGCTTGGTTTTGAGATATGTTTGCCTGGGGAGCATTTTCTTTCCAGGAGCCCCAGGGCACTTAAGGGAAGGGACCGTGGGATGAATGTTCCCCAGTGCGCTTTGCAAGCCTCCTACAGCTCTCAAACCTGAGTCTTGAGTCAAGCTCTGGGTCTTTCTGGATACTTAGGAGTGGTGATGCCCATTTCTCACATCTGCAGCTGCTTTTTAAATGGCAGGAGCCTTGCAGCCTCCACCCAGCAAGCCCCACCTGCCCCTTGAGCGAGGAGGGGTATGGAGCAAGCTGGGCTGCTCATTCCCAACGCCACGTATGTGCCAGGCAGCCTCCTACCTGGGCATCAGCCCCAACTGATGGTTGTAAGTGCCAGGAGAGCTCGACGTGCAGCCTGGGGCTCTAGCCAGGTGCCACCTTGGCTGCAGTGCCCTCCTAGCCCAGGGCACCACACGGGAATCGCTGCCTGCGGATCTCAGTGCCAAGTTGTTCTGTAGCAACAGGAGATGTCACTACTGTATTCTCCAGCCTCTTGGACAATGTGATGAGTTATTTGTTTCTCAGAGAAACTAAGTTCTGTACCATGAGCTTGTGCACCGTGAGATCATTTGTGATAGAAATAGCAGTGGGATGGAGGGCAAAAGGGCAAAACCACTGTGCAAAGCAGGATGTGAGAAACAGGGTCACACAATGTAACACAGAGAGCTTTTGCACACTCTTCGTAAGTCATATGTGTCTGTAAGGCTACGGAGTGAGACACCTCTGTGAACCCTCACACGTTTGCTTTTCATCTGCCTGAGAGGCTGGGGGTTGGGTCTCTGGTGCTTTCAAATGCACTAAAACCAGCAGTCTGCAAAGTCTTAAACAGCTTGGTGCTAAAATTAAGAGTTTTTTTTTTTTTTTTTTTTTTGGCTTTTCCATTACAGTGGGCCTACATTTCATGTACCCTGAAGTTCTTCTTTGCTGTGTTAGAGAGGGAAGTCTTGCCCACATAAAGGAGACTTTGCCAAGCGCTTTCCCTTGCCCAGGGTTATTTTGGCTGCGGTGGCCTGTCATCTTCCCAGGCTCTGCCAGGTGCCAGCTCCAGGGCACCAGTGTCCCCAGCACAGGAGGCCTAACCCCTTCCTGCTCTGGATTTTAAACTGCTGTCATCACATAATTAGGTATCTGGTGAAGGGCGGGAAGAACAAGGGGCTCATCCCCTTCTCTAGCTCTTTCTCCAGGGCTCATGTAGGCTAAGGCTCCCTATTTTAGCAAGTCTTAGTGCATCATAAACCTGGTGTCAGGCCTGGGTCGCAGGGGCACTGTCACTGACCCATTCTGACAGCACCGCTGGGTTCGCTCCCAGGTACAAGATGCAATGGAGGAAGGATCTGCATTTTTTGGCGTTGGGGTTGGGCCCCGACTGTGCCCGATGTCCTCCTCACTGCCCTACATGGCACATAGGACCTTGGGGAAGGTCCCTGTGTGTGTGCTGGTACATCAGACAAGCCCCAGCGTGGGAGGTGACACCGAGACCGAGCTGCACGGCGGCTGGAGCCCCACGGTGCTGGTGCCTGCTGCTGCGCCCCGACACGAGCGTTGGTTCCTTGTTCCGCTATGAGCCGCTACATCCTGCGGTTGCTTTGTGGGTATCTGCACACTGGTGTCAGAGGGAGAAGCACCACGTGTTCATTCTCAAGAATACAGAACCCCGCCAGGACACTGTGAGGGCACCTATCACCCGTAGATGCCCCCAGAGCTCTCCCAAGCGCGGGGTGGCTCCTCCTTTCATCACAGCAGGAAGGGGAGGGTGAAGTGGGGCTGCTCTAAAGCCAGATCAGGACGGGGCTGTCGCCAGTTCCTTCGTGGTGGTTGACTCCAGCCCACTGCTCCTGTACCCACTGGCGCTCCTGTCCACCCTAGCCCTTTCCTCCAGCTGTGCTCGTGGACATCAGCCCCATGGACCATGCGCCCTGCACGGCTCTGACTGTCCTAGTCAGCTATTTCCATCCGTGCTCAGGGATGCAATGAGAACATCTCAGGTTAGAGCAACCAGTGAGTTACACCCTCTTTATTTTGCTTTCCAGACCTACAAGAGGGTGATGAAGATGCTCTGGGGGCCTGGACATCCCCCACTCCAGTAGTGATCTGCAATTCCAGGCTCATTTCTACATCCTAAAGCAAAAAAAAATACAGAGCAGACAAACCTATCTTTGTAAAGGTTGTATTAGGCCAACCTTTGGTTTGAAGGAGTAAGGAATGAGCTCTGTGGTGATGTGGTGGGCTCCGATAGACATCTAAGGACTTAAGGGACTGCTTCTCAAGAGATTAGATAAAGACTTTTAAAAAATTCATAGGTAATCCCATCAAGACACAAACTTCCTTGACCCTCAACTGCCTTGGAAGAAAAAGGAATGTTATATTCACCTTGTATCAGGCTGTCTCCTGGTCTCTGGTGCTTCAGGCGGCAGCAAAAGTTGGTCTCAGCCAGCTCTTGAGTTCCTCCTGCTCGGCTGGAAGAAGCAGGCAGTCATCAGAGCTCTGCAGCACACTCTGATCTTCCTATTTCTGCTATAGTGGCGGCTGGTGTTAGAAAGGAGGAAGTCAAAGAAAGTGGTGGATGTGGGCGGGCCAAGAAAGAAAAAAGCAAAAACCCAAGCAGCCTAACTAACTCTAGCCAAAGCCTTTTTTCTGTCCTGTAGTGTTTTCTGCTGTATGATTTGAGCAGCAGATGCCCCCATGCTTCAACCCACTGCAGAGCATCTGGTCTCATCTCCATGTGTTAGTGCCACTGGGACTGGGCTATGGGGAGGGGTAAAACCCAAGTTACCACAGAGCATCCTGCCCCAGGGCGATGGGTGTTAACCTTCTCCAGGCCACATCCCGGGGCAGGGAGAGCCCTTGTTGCTGCAGCCATGTCCTGCCGTGGACAGGTGGTGGCTGGAGCCAAGTTGTGTGATGCTGTTGTGTGAGCTCTCTGTGCAGCATCACCTCAATGTGGCTGGGAAAGGGCCCGCTGCTGGGCCAGGCCCTGGGTGGGCCAGCCCCAGAGGAGATGCTGAGTACAGGCTGCAGAGCAGAACCTGGCCTGGTAGGGCTTGGGACAGCCTGTGTTGCAACGTCCTGAGCTGGGATGGGTGTCCCTGGGCTCTCTGGATGGGCCAGGTTGGGTCAGGGTGACCACACAGCACAGTTGGTGGGAGATGGTGAGGAGCACTCATGGCTGTGACAGCACCGAGAACGTTGCTGAGTCTGCAAATGTCTCCTGGGGCTTTTGCACTTTGGCCACATTGAGGGTCTGTCCTCAGGGAGCACAAACTGACTGCTAAAGCTCTACATAGCCGGGCCTTGCCTAGCCAGAGCCTCACAGTCCCCCCGGGAATCGGTAGCTGGGCGAAGGCCAGCGGGACGCCCGGCAGATTCACGTTCCTGGCTTCATTCCTGCTCTGTGGCAGAGGGCATGGGGGCAGCCACATGCCCCTCACAGCCATGGGGAGAAGCCCAAGGGGCATCTCCTGGTGCTTTCCTCTCCCGGCATTTTGCCAGCATCCAAGGCAGGGTGCTCAGCGCAGCACAGCCGCCCCACGCCAGCCTCGGTGAGGGCTCCTACAGCAAACACTTCTCTCTGCTGGTTTGAATCTTTCATGGCTCTGATATGGCCCTATCTCGTTCCTTGGAGAGGGGAAGCTGCAAAATGGTTAGTCTGGGAGCTATTTCTAGCTTCTGGCTGCAGGGAGGAGAGAGAGACGTCTTTCCCCCCATGGTTTTTGTTTCGTTCTGCTTTTTCTGTCTCAGAGCGTCTTGTTGAGCACAGCAGAGCTGGGCAAGGCTGCGAGTGCAGCTCTGGCTGGGACAGAGCTCAGGTCGTGGAGGGCTTTTTTTGCTCCTTTTTTTTTTTCTGGATTTTGTTGTGCACACTGTGATTATGACTCCCAAAACACCCACAGCAATATTTCCCCGAGCAGAGAGGAACCGGCTTGTGGCAAATATCTTTAATCTCCATTAGTTCACCAAAATCAGCAGAGCTGTTTAAAAAACATGTGGTATCTTAGATTTGTGGAGATAATTAATGGGAAACTCTTGTTATTTGCTTTGTAGCTTTAAACTACAGCAGTGGTTTCTGTTAGTCTTTCAGGAAATCAGCAAGGACCTGTTTCAAAATCGTATTGAATGCTGTAACATCTCATGCAAGGTGTGTCTGTTAAATAACAAATGTATTTTGGTGCACTAGTGTCTTGCTTCAAGCAAATTAATGTTTAACAACTGTAATGCGTTATATAACATTTATGCAGTGTGGCTGTCTTCCCGTAACTGGGTTTATCTTTCTCGGAGCTCTCAATAGCAAGCAAAGAAAATCACAACCTTGGAAGGACATTTCTGAGCTGTGGTGAATGATGGATGTGTTCCCGTTTCCATTAAGGCAGGCTTCTAGAGAACTCTGAGCAGGTTTCTCTGCTGCTCTGCCTCAAGATTATCTTAATACCATGTTCGTAAATGGAGAGGATCATATACATATATAAATATATATATATATATAGCTGAACTGAAGATAGGACTAAGAGCCCAAGGACAAGTCTTCTACATTGTGGTTTCACCTCCAAATTGCTCGGTATATGGTAAAAACATGGACAGCTCAGCCAGCAGCTGCCCAGTACCCCCTGCCCTGGAGAGGGTGGACCGGAATGGATTAAGCTGGTAGAAATGGGACAGCTTCCTGACACTTTTGCTCCTGACACTCACAAATGAGATGTTGTAATTTTTGCTTTTGCATTGAGTAAGGCGTGTGTTACTCCTCACTAGGCTGCTATTCTGGCTCCTAGAGTTTCCTGTGTCCACTGCTTCTGTCAAGCTGTTCTGCTTCTGGCCCAAAGTAATTCAGAAACTGCTGACCTTCTTTGAGCAAAATGACTCAAAAAGTTCAGAAGTCTCCTGTGCTGGAAGCTGCATCCATGCTAATGGGCAGTACTAGGACACGGGAGCAGAAGGACTCCAGGAGTGGGCATAGGGTAGGTCCTTCTTGTGTAACACTGAGGCTCACTATTGTTTTCTCCATCCCCCCGCTAACTGTTCCAACTGTTCTCCTACAGCTTTGGCCTGGGGCTGATATTCCACAGCAAAGAACTGCCCTCAATAATTCCCAGGAGAACCTAAGTCCCACCAAGCATATCAGTGGTACACCCTTAGCCCAGGCTGTTCACTGTGTTATCAACCAGTGAATAATTGTCTGATTGTCTGTGTGCCAGAAGATACCCAGGCAGAGGTGGCCTAGGGCTGTTCCCCAGCATCCAGCCTCTCCCAGGGGCTTTGCTACCTCCCAGAATAGCTGGGAACCACGTACGGCGCAGGGCTTTTATTAGATCCTTTTTTAATTTTAATTTCACTGGAGTGGATTCATTTTTCTTTTCCTCTTCCGAGCAGGGCTGACCACAAGACTGTCGTGGTTACTTTTGCAGAAGGTCCCTTGAGCAGCCGTGGTGGAAGGCAGGGCCTGTACCCTGCTCAGGATGAAATCAAGAGCTGTGTCTTCAGGTGTGTGTTGTCTGACCAGCTGCTCACAGAAGTAGTTGATTTTGGTGACCATAAAGTGTTGTTTTGTTGCTGTGCTCCCTGCCTATGACAGGATGACTCAAGTTTTCCCAGTGTTATTTGCTGTTCCTGACAAATGTTAAATATCCCCCCGTGTGTCCCAGTCAGTGGCTTAATGAACAGTTGCTGGGGGTATGGGCCATGGTGGCTATGAGATCTTCATCCTTGCAGACATTCAGAGTGTGCTCGGACACAGTCCTGAGCAACCTGCTGTAATCAGACCCGCTCTGAGCGAGGTTTGGACTTGCAGTGGTCTTTTCCCATCTCAGTCTGTGATTCTGTCACGGCTCAACATTACACTTTTAAAAGGGCTGGATGTTGTGCTCTTCACTGGGTCTTGCTAAAGTTGAGGCTTTGCAGATCACCTTCTTCATTCTGCAAACTTTTAGCATGGTGTATAGAGATAGAGGTGGTTGTGAGCAGGTACCTGACCTGGACTTCGCATCCTTCCAGGTAGCATAACCTCCCCAGGAACCTCTCTCCCTCATTTTATGTGTCACCAGCTCCTCCCTACTCCCCTCACTTGGCATGACTTGCTGCCTTCTCACTCTGCCAGATTGCTGTGCTGCCCATGCATACCCATAGAAACCAAATCTCTGGGAGTTTGTGAGGACACTGCTGCGAGCGGAAGAGGAGACAAAGCCAATGTAGAGTCATGAAGGGTTCGCCTCTGCTGGTCTTCCCAGTGGGAGCAGCTTGATTTTCCCAGGACGTGCACTGCCTCACACAGGTCAAAAGGCAGCACTGCTGTCTTGGCTTCACTTTTTTTTTTTTTTTTTTTCTTTCTTTCTTGTCAATGTTTCTAGTGCTGCTTTCAAAAGGTGAAAAGCAGCTGCTGTTGGTGTGTCCACGAGTCACCACTTGGCAAACACTCACTCAAAGCAGGGCTGAACCAGGGCCTGGGAAAGGAAAAGGGAACTTAGGATATTTCTGAATTCCCTTGAAGTGCCTAGGACTATGAGTTTGATCAGATAAGTGCCTGGGCTGCCCAGGGAAGTGGTGGCATCACTTCCTTGTGTCTCTGGCACAAGGGAGTCACTGTCCCTGGCAGTGTTCAAGAAATGCCTAGATGATGCACTTAGGGATGTGGTTGAGCAAGCCTGGTGTCAAAGGCTCTATGGTTGGACTCCATGATCTTAAAGGTCTTTTCCAACCATAATGATTCTATGATTCTATTGTGAGAAACCTGTCTTCATTTAAGAAACTATTTACTGGAAAGTCCTGAGGCCAATGGCAGAGTAGAGAACAAAACCAACAAACCAACAACAACCCCCGCAAAGGAATGAGACCCCTGCAAAGCGCTGTCCCAGCGCCTCCGAGGAGCCCCATGTGCCCGGGGGGAAGTGAATCTGTGGCAGCCGTGGGTGTTTGAGCAAGAAGGGCAGGGTTCGGGGGCGAGCGCTGTCACAAGAGGCTGTTTCCTAACACCAGCCACACGTTCTATGGAAGTCTTGCAGGAAGCTGTGACTGCACAAGCAAGGATGTCACTATGAGACTATGTGTCACGAATGGCAGAATGGCTTTCCCGGGTCTTGCCTTCAAGGACTCATCTCTAAGCGGCCCAGTCTGTCCAAATGTTCTTCATCTGGGGGCCTTGAACAACCCCACAGTGCAAAAGAGAGACTTTAACAAATTAAGAATTTAATTAAGAAATGTTTTTTATTATTATTCGCCACAACTTGGGGCAAGGCCCTCCTCTTGGATGATCAAGCCAGCCTCTGATCCAGCTCACCAAGACAGAGCAGGGCAGAACTACTGGCCCACGGTACTGTGGCCACACATTGTGAGGTGACACTTTGGGGAAGAAAGGTGCCATTTCCCAGCTGCCAAGTTTGCAGGGATGAAGGAGTGATGAGAAAAGAGCTCAGATGCGCACGGAAAGACCAGGCGGGTCCTTCAGCTAGTCCTTAAAACGCCAGGCCTCTGCAAG